TTATGGGCAACAAGGGATGGGCAATAAATACTGGCCCACAGAGAGGCACCCACATCTCATGAATTTGAAAAAAACCCAGAGAAAATGCACACATTTCACAAAAAAAAACATTTACCTGACACTACTTTCTCGTGATTTTGGTTGCCTCTAGGATAAGCCACAGCCTCTTTGGTGGCCCTGCAATGTACAAGAGCTGCTGGTCTCTTACTGGCCAGCAGCTTTCACTGGATGGGGCTACTACTGCTTGGGACTTGATTTTGAGAAAGACTCACTGCGGCCCTCCAAACAATCTGATTGGAGGAAAGTGCAGCAGGGTTGATCTTTGGAGATAGCTCTTGCTATCTCTAAGTCATCTTGCTATCTGTTCAACAAGTAAGTGAGGCACTCCCACCCAATCTCATCACCCAAGTAGGGAAGGGATTGAGGGATGAGGTTTGAAGGTAGGTATATGATTGGAATTATCAAAGACATTCCTGGACTAAAAAGGGAACATTCGTGCTGTGCAATCAATGCCCTTAACTCTGATTTACATGATCCCACACATATTTGGACAGCATGCTTATTTTAGTTTTTGCTAATATGCCTGACCATTTGAAATGGGGATGGGTTTGGGGAGGGCTGCAGAGGCCAGGTTCAAGCTCATATCAAACATGGTCCATCCCACATCCACCAGAAAACCAGGGGAAGAAGGATAGAAAACCTAAGCCATTTAATTCTGAATTAAATCAATGGGTAATTGTAACACTTTCAATCAGTGTTGCATCTGTTTCTGTTACAATCACTGCCTGGTATTCTGTTCCATTCACAGAAGTAAAAGCCATTCCATTTGATTTATATCCCTATGTTCAATTTCATTCCAGATGTGTTTATTCAGTCACTTAGAATGCATACAAAATTTTCTTTTAAAAAGTTAAGCTCTGTGACTTACAGTTTTTAAATGGACAAAGTTGTGCCCTTCTGGCATCAGGCAATGCTGACCAGCCCTGGAAATACAAGCACAAAACAGACTTCTCAGTAAAGTAAAAGATGTCATGTTTTCTTTTCAAGTGAAAAATCAGGTTTTTGCTACAGAAAAGTGAGAACCTCAGAAAATAATCTGAAGATAACATTTACAAAAACATTTATAAAAATATTGAAGGTTTTAAACTGACGTACAAATTATCCATCACACGACTGAATTAAAATCAATTAAATTTAAAAAATTGCTTTTTTAAGTTCCAATATTATTTGCACTTAGCCACCTCTTTAAATCCTTTATTGTCTCTGTACGCAGTAATTCATTAATATCTTTGAGACTGAAAAGATGAACATTTCACCTTTCAAATTCAATGAATAATGATGCAAATACATTCACTTATTACCTCAATACACAAACATGGCAATATCCGAGAGTATGGCAAGGTGACTTCTTTGGAATCTTGGACTTTAATCTATATTTAATAATAAAATAGTTTTAGCAATCCCACAATGACAATAAACATTTAATTATATAAAAGAGTAAAGAAGCAAATCCATAGCTCCAAAATCCCCAAGCCTGAAGGAAACAGAGTTGGGGACGAGGAGGAAATGAGGTTTGGAACCTGGCTGTACAGAAATTCTGCTCTCTACTTCTTGGGCATTCCACTGACCTGGATTTCAGTGGGCGGATCACCAGTCTCCTCAGCTTATATTAAAGGGGGCTTATTGGAGCTGCAGATTAAACAAGGCCTTCCCAAAAAACTTCTATCCTTTATAGCCTTAAAGGCTTCACTGGAAATAATGGATGATAATCATTAGTTTGTTTTGTTGACTGAGGTAATTTTCTTTAAACAGCTCAATTCTTTTGTCTGATTGCAGTGTAGCTACAGTAAAAGTCAAACAGTAAGTTCTTGGAGGTAAGAGGGTTCCACGTGGCATTGTTTGAACTTATAAAGGCCCGTCAGTGGGCCACAACATAGCGTTGGAATGGGCCACATGATACATAGCTTAGTGTGGATTGGCATTCCCCTCCATCATACTTCACCCAGAAGTGTAAACAACTCAAAATATGGGGCCTACATGTTTCAAAGGAGATGGAATTTATGTCTAAACAAAACTGTGATCATTTACCAATGCACTGATTCCCAAATCTTCACAGGTAAACCATTTGTGGCACAAACGCACATGGTAGGCATGATCTTCTACAAAGTTAGAAACTTGAACAGATAATGTCTTCTGTTTTTTGTCAATAACATAGTCTAATTTGCCAGCTGAAATAAAATAAGAAAATTCTTTTCAGTATTCAAATTCTAAAATCTAGTGTATTATCAACTAGTAGCTTATGCACGTCAATAACTCAATGCCAATATTTTTCTTTACAAGGTTATATTTTTTTAAAATGTGTACAATATCAAATTTGGTCATTTAAAATCATATACATTGTGGGCCAGCCTTAAGCTATGAAAATGTTATATTGTATTTTATTAAAATATAGACTATAATGGCAATGTATATTGGAAGACATTTCTGTATATTTTATGATTTACTGCGCGTAATTCTAAAAACCCCAGTACAAGTCCAAGTCCCTGTTTGAAGCCGACCCATCACAGCATGATAATACATAAAAGGGAAGAAAAAGGCAAGGTATTGCTTCTGTATTAGTCATAGAGAGCCTTGGATTAATGATCCAGGTATACAAGTTTCAAAATCCTTAATGGTAGCTAAGGAATTTACATTGATTTATTGAATTCACTGTGGAATAAAACAATAATAGTCTCTGTAATGGTAACCATTAAACTTTCCAAATGTTGTAAAGCAATCCATTTGTTATATCAATGTCCATCAGGGAAGGAAGTAGGTCATGTTTACCCAACTGGCCAACATGTGACTACAGACCCATGGCAATATGATTGGCTCTGAAATGGCCTGACAAACTGTTCAGATTTATTCAAAAAAGAGTCATCACACCATTTTCTCAAGAGCAGGCAGGATGGTCACAGATGCTGGTATCATCCATATTAACAATAAGTGAATTAAATTTGAGCTTCTCCACAAGGTGAAGCAAGCAAAAACAAAGGACTAGCCAGCAATTTTGCAGGCTAAATTATCCTAGCCCCATAGCAAGGCCTGGAGATTGGATATAAGGAAACTATAGACAGCCAATTAAGAGGCAACCTCCTGGAATATTGCTGAACCAGTCTAACTACTGGCCAGTGGAGGTTCAGGACCCCAATTTGATCTAACATTGGGATCTTGATTTCCATTACAAATTACAGATGCTAGTGTTTCATTACAGAAACCAGGGAATAGGTTCCTCATCTCCCTGTAGCTCAATGCATGACCCATGGAAATTTCAGGAATAAAATACAGTAGAAAATGATGGCGTATCAGAGCTTGAAGTAGTTATTACTCACTCAATTTGTATAATTTATTAGTATATTACTGTACCTATACAGGTTGAGATACTTTTTCCAATATCTTTCTCATTGCAATCTAAAATAGAGAAACAAAGTTAAAATCCAAATGGTACCAAACTACTTCTGCAAGAATTGACATATAATCATAGAATGCTAATTCTCCCACCACCATCACCCAACAGATAAATCCAGCTTAGTCATGGGGGCTTAAATATGCACCAATTATGATGTGTGTGATAATATTACTTTCACAGTCTTATGTCCAACTGATAATGGTGAGAAGTTGCCATCCCCTTAAGGTGGCAGTAATTTTAGTTTCACATTGCTAGACAGCAACGTATACCTCATCCAGATTTTACACAAGGTTTGCACAATACAAAAAGGGAAGTTCAGTGGAAAGCAGAAATGGTTTTTAGTCATACTCACAACGTTCATTAATTTTCATCACAAATTCACAATTTTACACCACAAGATGATGTTTTAAATAAAACTGCAACTTAAACACCACACAACTGTCAAGGAAGAGTTGGTATTGCATACTTCAGTAAACTGCTGATTTTTTTTTTTACCTCCTACTTGGTGCTCCCGTTTTATGAAGACATCACAATAGTAAGGGATTGTCTTAAGTGTCACATAAGCATATTCAGACACTTCAGCAGTGAAACAGTCATATTCAATTTGTACCTGTCATAAGAGAATAGAAGTGGTAACAAGAGTGTTGGTTACAAATTTAAAAGATACACCACCCATTTTAAGGAAGTAACATTTCATTAATGTACATTTAACATTTGAGCAGCCATATCTGAAACAGGGACTCTATTATTTACTTGTCTTGGAAGTTAGCGGGGCAATAAGATGTTTAAAAAAAAAAGCATGCACAAGTTTATAAACAGGGGACATAAACAAAGAGTTGAATGTCCAACTACAGACATCACATTAACACACGACAAGAAGTTCAAGTTGATCAAAGTTTAATCGGAGATAAGTTAGGAATGCACAGTGGAGGTCAGAATCAGATGTGATCACTGTGATCTTGATGAATGGCAGCGCAGGCGAGATGAGTAAATGACCCACTCCTGCTCCTAGTTCTTGGAGATTGGCAAATTTCATTTGCACTGAGTGACTGGAGTGCCAAGGATGTCAGTTCGGTGGAGAGAAATTAAAGAAACTGGGATTGGTCTCGTCAGAGCAAAAATATTCTCTTTTTATCATTCTGAATAGAATCACTATATATTTCCAAATATGCTCCACTTTTTTCCCCTGATTTTCAGCATTTGCAATATTTCCCCCTTTCTTTAAAAAAAAAATCACTATGGTTCACTGGTGTCAATTGGTACTTCTCTCTGGACACAGTGCCTAGCATTAACCTAGTATATTTGCTTCAGCAAAATGGCAAATTGCTGCAGGCTGCTGGTAAAACATTCCACCAATAGTGGTCAAGGAGTGAATACTAATAAGGAAATTTTCAAATGGTTAATCCTTTGATGGGGGCATTTAAGGCTCCATCAGTAAATCACTGCCAGGATTATTTTAAGGTGGATCTTAATCCATCTATAATAAGCGCATTAAAACTGTTCTAAATAACAGAAGCAGGAATTTGATCCAACTATCTTAAACAATGGAAGATTGCTCATCGGGAATTTCCTCAATTAATTTCTTGGCATGACTATGAAATTTGCATTGAAGAGAGAACATCAATAAAGCTAAAATTTCTTCATGATATGAAAAATGTTAAGCAGCTGTTGTATAGCATACAACAATGTCCCACAGTTTTATATTAACCTGATTCTGAAACTTATACTAACCCATTCACTTAATGATATCTCTTTCAAAATACTTAAAGGTAGCATGAGGTTAGAAACTTTGCAACTGGCTCTCTTAAATATCAAACTGAAACATATACTTGAATATTAATGTTTCAAGCCTAAGAATCAAAATCAAATCAAAGTGGGAAAGGATGGTTTCCTTAACTATGAAACCTTAAGCAATAAATGCTGTCCAGCCAGCAATGCCCATGTCCCACAAATGAACAAAACAAAATTTAAAGTTTTCGTTGGGATCTCAGATAGTACTTGGAATCAGATCCTATCCTAAACCAGGCTAATGGGAGCCTTTGCTTCTTTGAATAAATGAAAAATCACAAACAAACTACACATGCAAGTTAAGTATGCTTATGAATCTGACTATGCATATGAATAGAATGCATTCAGAGATTTACAAACTGGTTCTGATTTCAATTTATTCAAACCTCATGAAGTTTATGTAAATTTTCCTTTGTCGTCTCAATATCAGACTGTATTAGACCAGTCTCACCATTACATAGTGATTTTTTAAAAATTAATTGTTCAGCTGCACATTGTGTATTTATTGATCCTGAGAACAGTCAACAGTCCATATCTATTTCTTTAGGCCTTGTCAGACAAGCATAAGACAGAAGTTGAAGCCAGTCAAATGGCTGATTGAGCCTGCTCTGCCATTCAATACAATCATGCCTTCAGCTTCAACTTCACTATACTGCCTGCTCCCCACATCCCTGGAGTCTAGAGAAACCCAAAAATCTGTCTAGTTTAGCCTTAAATAGATTCATTGACCTCAAAAACCACTGGGAGTACAGAATTGCAAAGATTCATGTTCTTTCAGTTGGAGAAATTTTTCCTCTCTTAAATGGTCAGCTCCCTACCCTGAAATTGTGCCCACTGGTTTTAGATACCCAGCCAAGGGAAATAATGTCTCAATATCTATCCCAGTAAGTCATTTCACATTTCAATCAAAGACTAATCATTTTTCCAGTCTCCAAAGAATATATCTCGTCATAGGGCAAACTTCCCATCCCCCAGGGACTATGTGTTATGCATCTTCTAGTCATTAGATACATTTGAGTGGTTTGTCAACTGCATTTTACACAATCCAGATTTCAGTCACCTATCAGCCAAGCTGGACAAGAGTGGCAGATTTCCTTTCAAAAACAAACTAGTTAGATTTTGACATCATTTTTACAGATGTCAGCTTTATAGTTTGCAAGTTTTAAATTGAATTAATCTTCAAAGTAGCAATGATTGATTTATACCATATTTTCTTATTTCTGGGGAAGAATATGGTTATCTCTCAGTGGGTGCAATGACAATTCATCAGATTTCTGCTCAATCAGCCTATATTCCCTGGAGTTGAATGGAAAGAGGGATCACCTCATTGAAACGTATAATATCCTGAGAGAGACAAACAAGAGGCTGGAAGAACACAACAAGCCAGGCTGCATCTGGAGGACAGAAGTCAACATTTCAAGTATCACTCTTCGGGGTGGAGGAGCTGCAGGTAAGGAGGGGGTGGAGGAGTGGAGGCGGAATGGTGGTGATAGGCGGACATTGGTAGTAGGTATGACCTGAATCCGGTTGGTGGCTGGAAGGGAGGGTCAGAAGGTGGAATAGAGGGAGGAGGTGGGGCTGGAAAGGAAGCCAGGGGATAAGTGGGAAGGTTTTTTTGAAATTGGAGAACTTAATGTTGACTTCTCCAGGCTGTAGGGTTCCCAGGTGCATTGTGGGTCATTGCGACACTGGAAGAGGCCAAGGACAGACATGTTGGAGGGGGAGTGGGGGTGGGGAGTTGAAATGAGCGGTGACCAGGAAGTTAGGTTGGCCCTTACGGGCCAGGTGGAGGTGTTCGGCAAAATGGTCACCTAGTCTACGTTTGGTCTCACTGATGTAGCGAAGACCCCATCAGGAGCACCCAATTTAATAGACTAGGTTGGAGGAGATGTGGGTGAAGCTCTGTCTCACTTGGAAGGACTGTTTAGGGCCCTGAATGGAGGTGAGGGAGGTTGTGTGTGGGCAGGTGTTGCATCTTTTACGGTTACAGAGGAAGGTACCGGGCAGGTAGGAGTGGTTGGTGGGGAGTATAGCGTGAACTAAGCAGTGGCAAAGGGAATGGTCCTTGCAGAAGGCAGAGAGGGGTGGGGAGTGGAAGATATTTCAGGTGGTGGGGTCTAATTGAAGTTGGTGGAAGTGTTTGAGGATGATACATTGGGAGCAGAGGCTGTTGGGGTGGTAAGTCAAGTCAAGGGGGACCCTTATATTTATGTTTGTGGGGGGCTGTGTGGTTAAGAACTGTGGAGAGGAGAATGGAGGAGGCACAGTGGGGGGCTTTCTGGATGATAGAGGGGGGAAAAGAGCATTGTTTGAAAAAGGCAGACATCCAGGATGCTTGGGAGTGGAACATCTCCTCGTCAGAAAAGATGCGACGGAGACAGGAATTGGGAAAACAAGATGAAGGATTCCACCATCTGCAGTTTTTTTGTCTCTAATGAAATATCCTGAGAGAGTTTGTCAAGGGTGAATGCTGGGAGGTTGCTCCCCCTAGTTTGAGTGTCTAGAACTCTGGCAGGATTGTAATCTCAGGATAAAAGAGATTGACCATGTAGGACATAAAAAGGGGAATTTCTGCACTGCAAATCTTTAGAGTTTCTATCCCAGAGGGCTGAAATTTAAGAATGTAATTAGCTATAATCCAAAAAAAAACATAAGGCATGTCTCTTCCTTCACTCAAGACAGAGACACACACAAAGACAGAAGCATAACAGAACTCCAGCAGTGTGGGGAAATTGAGAAAACAGACCTCTGAAAAATACCACAGCCAGAACAGGGAGTGAACCCACACTGTGCATCACATGCCAGCCATCCAGTCAACTGAGCTAACTGAGCCCTACAAATGCATAGATATAGAATATATTCCTGATGGCAATCAATAGATTTTTAGACACTAAAGATCCATGCGAAATGGCATTGCAGTAGGAAAGTGAGGATAAAGTAGATATTTACTAGTCTTATCTTAATGAATAATCTTATTGGATGGCACAGCAAGCCTGAAGGGTTGTATGACCCACGTCTGTCCCCAGGTCTTACACTTTAACAATTATTAACATAATCCCTACTCTTCTTTACCTTTACTGTAAAACATAATGAATCAGCAGTATGTTAATCTAAGACAATAGCATCAGAGTGAGACATGCTGCTATTAAGCTTTGAATCAGTCAGCAGATCACAGACATTCTGTGAATCATGAATACCACAAATTATTGGCCAATTTGCAACACTCCACTGTTAGATTGGCAAAATTGCATCCATTGTTTAACTTCCCTATATTTTCATCAAGTTGCTATATTTTTACATTATTTATTGATTAAACTCATTCCAAAAAAATCTAATACTTATACTACCTGAATGATTACTAATAGCTCTTGTCCAAAAACCAAACAATTAAAAGTATGGAATCTTCAGGTTGTGGATGGTTTTACAAGATTTTAAAAATCTAAAAAAGTTTACTCTATTTAATATTTTACTTCCTTTTTTCATTATTTCCCTCTATTAATCTAATCTTTCCTTCCCTCTGTTTATGTTTCTTTCCAATCTGATCCAATTTTTGGATTGACCTTCCTCAGTCCTTATGCTCACTTCTTTAATCTCATTTGTTAAGGAGCCACACTGATTGTCCCATTATTCCTCTCAGTCACAGGTATTTTGTTCCCCTTACTACAACATTATTAGCTCACACTTCCAACAATGCTATGAGTTTAAAAAAAACATAAAAGCTAATCATACAATTGTTATCTAACCAATGGAATCTGTGACTTTATACCAGAACCTAACACATTACAGCTTGTTTTACTGCAGATTTTATCATTGTTAAGGGTTTAACATCAAAATTCAAACTTACAGGATGTCCTATAAACTTCTTATATCCATGTTTATTGAATTTCACAACAACACATTGGTACTGTAAGGTCTTCACTGAAAGAGAGCATATTTCCACACCACGGATATGTTCTGAAATGCAAGAACAAGTAAATATCAGACACTTGTAATTAACACAGCAATTTAAAGTAGAGAAGGAGAAGGCAGTATCATTGCAAAGACAGCTTTATTATTTGGAGAGGGGATGGGCAGGTTCTGGTTAGGATATATATGGATATTTATTGCATTCCAAAAGGAGTGTTAATCTGCTCATTAATATCTAGTCTTGAAGTTCTCACACAAACCAATCATGTACAGCAAGTTTCTTCCAGGTCACGTAAGAGATTGTCATTTTTTTTCTTCTGTAACTAACTGTAAAAATTATCATAACGCAGCAAATCTCCCCACGTTCAACCAAACTAAGCATGCCCACCTTCTTTATCCACATATTCTTCATAAATATTTCTTACTTTCATGTTTTCCATTGCAGGAAAGAAGAGGTCCAAAGCACATAATTGCTCAGCTGATAAGTAATATGCTTGTCAAAAGTCACATCCTCATTTCTTTCACTAGTATGACAAATGGGAATATTAGGATATGGTGATAGGACAGGAAAAAAAGATTTAGGGTTATGATCAGCTATGCTGTTATTGAATAGCAGAGAAGGTTTGAAGGGTTGTCTGATTTACTCCAGTTTAAGTTTTATGCTCTAATGATTACTCCTTCACCTCCAACCAGGCAGAAGGAATAGTTTCAAGTTAACTACCAGAGTTTTTTTTTGAATAATTTCCATTGTCTTTCTTTCCTTAGGATGCACAATAATAACAAAGTTTACACTGTGCTTCATCTGGCTTTATTAGCGCTTCAACAATATAACCATGGAAATTTTAAGTGGTACGCTGCATTTAGTTTCAAAAAAGTGTGATCAATTTAATGACAGAAATAAGAGAGTTCAAATGTTCAAGGTATTAGATTGTCAACTAGGTCCACATGATTGAGACAACAAGGTGCAGGGCTGGATGAACACAGCAGGCCAAGCAGCATCATAGGAGCAGTGAGGCTGACATTTCGGGCCTAGACCCTTCATCAGAAAAGGGGGAGGGGAAGGAGGTTTTGAAATAAATAGGGAGAGAGTGGGAGGCGGATAGAAGAGGGATAGAGGAGAGGATAGGTGGAGAGGAAACAAACAGGTCGAAGAGGCGGGGATGGGGCCAGGAAAGGTGAGTGTAGGTAGGGAGTTAGGAAGGGGATAGGTCAGTCCAGGGAGGACGGACAGGTCAAGGGGGCGGGATGAGGTTGGTCGGTAGGAGATGGAGGTGCGGCTTGAGGTGGGAGGAGGGGATAGGTGGGAGGAAGAACAGGTTAGGGAGGCAGGGACGAGCTGGACTGGTTTTGGGATGCGGTAGGGGGAGGGGAGATTTTGAAACTTGTGAAATCCACATTGATACCATTGGGCTGCAGGGTTCCCAAGCGGAATATGAGTTGCTGTTCCTGCAACCTTCGGGTGGCATCGTTGTGGCACTGCAGGAGGCCCAGGATGGACATGTCGTCTGAGGAATGGGAGGGGGAGTTGAAATGGTTCGCGACTGGGAGGTGCAGTTGTTTATTGCGAACCGAGCGTAGGTGTTCTGCAAAGCGGTCCCCGAGCCTCCGCTTGGTTTCCCCGATGTAGAGGAAGCCACACCGGGTACAGCGGATGCAGTATACCACATTGGCAGATGTGCAGGTGAACATCTGCTTGATGTGGAAAGTCTTCTTGGGGCCTGGGATGGGGGTGAGGGAGGAGGTATGGGGGCAGGTGTAGCACTTCCTGCGGTTGCAGGGAAAAGTGCCGGGTGTGGTGGAGCTGGAGGGGAGTGTGGAGCGGACAAGGGAGTCACGGAGAGAGTTGTCCCTCCGGAAAGCAGATAAAAGTGGGGAGGGAAAGATGTCTTTGGTGGTGGGGTCGGATTGCAGATGGCGGAAGTGTCGGAGGATGATGCGTTGGATCCGGAGGTTGGTGGGATGGTACGTGAGGACGAGGGGGATTCTTTTTTGGTTTTTATTGCGTGGACGGGGTGTGAGGGATGAGGTGCGGGAGATGTGGGAGACACGGTTGAGGGCGTTCTCGACCACCGAGGAGGGGAAGTTACGGTCCTTGAAAAACGAGGACAACTGAGATGTACGGGAGTGGAATGCCTCATCCTGGGAGCAGATGCGGCGGAGGCGAAGGAATTGGGAATAGGGGATAGCATTTTTGCAGGAAGGTGGGTGGGAGGAGGAGTATTCTAGGTAGCTGTGGGAGTCGGTGGGCTTGAAATGAATATCGGTTTCTAGGTGGTTGCCCGATATGGAGACAGAGAGGTCCAGGAAGGGGAGAGAGGTGTTAGAGATGGTCCAGGTAAACTTAAGGTTGGGGTGGAAGGTGTTAGTGAAGTGTATGAACTGTTCGAGCTCCTCGTGGGAGCACGAGGCGGCGCCGATACAGTCATCAATGTAACGGAGGAAGAGGTGGGGTTTAGGGCCGGTGTAGGTACGGAAGAGGGATTGTTCCACGTAACCTACAAAGAGGCAGGCGTAGCTTGGGCCCATGCGGGTACCCATGGCTACCCCCTTTGTCTGTAGGAAGTGGGAGGAATTGAAAGAGAAGTTGTTGAGTGTGAGGACGAGTTCAGCTAAGCGGATGAGGGTGTCAGTGGAGGGGGACTGGTCGGGCCTGCGGGACAGGAAGAAGCGGAGGGCCTTAAGGCCATCTGCATGGGGAATGCAGGTGTAGAGGGACTGGACGTCCATGGTAAAGATGAGGTGCTGGGGACCGGGGAATTGGAAGTTCTGGAGGAGGTGGAGGGCGTGGGTGGTGTCATGGACATAGGTAGGGAGTTCCTGGACCAAGGGGGAGAAAATGGAGTCGAGATAGTTGGAGATCAGTTCGGTGGGGCAGGAGCAGGCGGAGACAATGGGTCGACCAGGGCATTCAGGTTTGTGGATTTTGGGAAGGAGATAGAAGCGGGCAGTGCGAGGTTGGGGAACGATGAGGTTGGAGGCCGTGGGTGGGAGGTCACCTGAGGTGATGAGGTCGTGGATGGTTTGCGAGATGATGGTTTGGTGCTCAGGGGTGGGGTCTTGATCAAGGGGGCGGTAGGAGGAGGTGTCGGAGAGTTGGCGTCCGGCCTCGGCGATGTAGAGGTCAGTGCGCCATACTACAACTGCACCTCCCTTGTCCGCGGGTTTTATGGTGAGGTTGGGATTGGAGCGGAGGGAGCGGAGGGCTGCACGTTCTGCGGGGGAGAGGTTGGAGTGGGTGAGAGGGGTGGAGAGGTTGAGGCGATTGATGTCTCGACGGCAGTTGGAGATGAAGAGGTCGAGGGAGGGTAGGAGGCCTTGGGGTGGTGTCCAGGAGGAGGGGGTGTGTTGGAAGCGGGAGAAGGGGTCAGTAGAGGGAGGGTTAGGTTCACGGTCAGAGAAGTAAGCGTGGAGGCGGAGGCGGCGGAAAAACTGCTCTATGTCCAAGCGTGAGCGGTATTCGTTGATCTGTGGGTGAAGGGGGACAAAGGTGAGCCCTTTACTGAGGACTGACCGTTCGATTACTTTGGGTCCCTGTAGATGTATCAGTAGAAATGAGACAATAATGTTTATCACTTGAGTCACCTTTTCTTATCACCAAGAGATTTTCTACAAGTAGAGAACCATTTTCTCAATGTTTACTTTGTATATTAAGTTACTTTGAAAATATACCGAAATTTTCAAAGATTTTCCCTTGGAGGAAGAGCATAAATCCCACAGGAAAAAAGGTATGCCTGCTTAAAAACAGATGCTAATGTTATTCCTCTAAAGGCTGGAAGAAACCAACAGCAGCGTCTGCCCAGAGTTTTAAAACTAAAACTACATCCGTGTACTTTTCAGAATCTATATTGTTGGGGTGTATATATTCACTGCAGAAGTTCTTCCAAATTTCTTTTCAGAAAATTTTGATGAAAATATAAAAATCAATACCATCAAGAATCAATGTCCCTTTAGCTTTCAGGTGTATGGAACATTGCCGCTCTTTTATGCATTTCAACACTGTCAATATTTTGAGATCCTCCAAAACTTTGGAGGGCAGGGATGATGGAGGTTGATGGCAACTACTGCGCTGCTCACCTACAGAAGGAATAAATCACAAAGCTGTTAGACATTTAAGTGCTCATATTCCCTATCCTAATTTCCTTTCTTTTCATTAGGCCCAAATTAGGTTGTCCTAATGTCCTATCTACTTCTAGTTGAACGTTATGTCTGATTTCCAACTATGCATACAGTTTCCCTACTTAACACCTTTGTGGGAGCACCTATGGCACACATTCAAGGAGAAGACCTCACAGCACCTTCTCAATGCACCAGAGGATGATCCACAACTTTCAGCAATGCCCACATTCTGATGCATACAGAGTCCAAAATGATGGAAATGTTGTTGTGTACATATGGCAGGGTTGTTAAATTTGCTGCTGATACAATGATCAGTCAGAAAGTTGTGAAGAGGACAAAAGGGCTATAGAGAGGTTGAGTGAGTGGACAATGATCTGGAAAATTGAATATAATGCAATTGTGAACTTGTCCATTTTGGCAGGAAGAATAAAAAAAATCAAAATATTATCTAAATGATGAGAGATTTCAGAACTCTGAGATGCTGAGGGATATGCATGTCCTAGTGGATGAATCACAAAAGGTTAGTATGCAGGTACAGCAAGTAATTAGGAAAGCTAATAGAAGGTCATCATTTATTTTGAGAATTGAATACAGAAGGGGGAGGTCATGCTTCAGTTATGCAAAGCATTGGTGAAACCACATTTGCTGTACTATTACCTTATTTAAGGAAGAATGTAAGTACCTGGAATGGGCAGGCAGTTTTAAGAGGAAAGATTGGATAGTCAAAGCTTATATCTGGTGGAATTTAAAAGAGCTAGAAGTGACTTAGATAAGCATATAAAATTGTGAGGGGTCTTGATAGTGTGGGTGTGGGAAAGATGATGTTTCATCTTGCAGGAGAATATAGACTTGATGTCTCAATTGAGGATAAAAACAAAATAAAAAGATGAAGATAAATATTGGGTGGGTGGATAACATTGAGTTGTGGATGAAGGGAGGCTTGATGAAAGCCAGAGAAGAAGCAAGCCTGTCCAAAATCATTCCCTGACACTTTTAGAGTTGGCAGGTATCAGCATTTTGTCTGGTTCTAAATGGAATGGATAGTGATAATCCACTACTTCATCCAATTCGCACATCAAAGGAGATTTTCTAAAGTTCTCACTTTGTTTTCTGAAGACTGACTTGTACTGGGTTCGTTCTGGTGCTGCATACTTTGATACACATTCAGATGGCTCTTCCCCATACAAGAGCCTCAGAAGGCTATTAACTGTGAAGGGAATCATTGTTGAGGTGATTTCCTTTTCTTCTCCTCAGATTATCAGTGATGTAAAATGATGCATAATCCCTTGAGAGAAATCCTTCCAGGGTTAGACAGGGTAAACAAAGGAAGGATGTTCCTGATGACTGTCGATTCCAGAACCAGAAGTAACAATCTAAGGATGCAGGGCAGCAATTTAGGACTGAGGTGAAGAAAAATTTCTTCACCCAGAGAGTGGTGAACCCGTGGAATTCTCTGCAGCAAAACATTGAATGTTTTGAAGAGTTAAATATATTTCTTAGGTCAAAAGGGATCAAAAGGTACAAGGAGAAAGTAGGAACAAGGTACTACATTGGACAATCAGATCACATGGAATGGTGAAATAGGTTCAAAGGCCAGACTGGCCTACTCCTGATTCCATTTTCTATTTCTATGAGAGAGTTTTGAATCTAGGAATGTGCTGATCTGTGTAACTAATGCACAGCCGGATAGTATATTTACTCAAAGTGATGATGGAGTTGCTTCATGTTATTATTATCAGACTGACATGTGAGTAAACACTTAATTGCAATCTCAGAATTTCCTGTAGCGCAACACCCTTCAGGAAGTCCATGCTGAGTAATAAACAAGCAATTCTCACTATTTAAAATTGATAAGACATCAAGTTTACTTAACATTAGAAGTAATTCTCAGTTAAATTAGTTTTTATTTAATTAATGCTTTAATAAAGATAAGTTCATATACATTCAGCTTTTATTAAATCTACTTTTCGTACACAGGGGGATAATGAATATGATCAACACCTGAGAATAGAAATGAACTGGAAAAGCAGAGAGCAAATCCACCTGACTGCACCTGTAAAACGTGGCTTCAATTCTGCTCTGAACCATACTTGTCCTTCAGTTGCCAGAAATATCTTGTGAGGGCAATATAGGTGTGGGGAGGATGGCAGCATTTCCAGATGAATCAGAAGCATGTGATGAAACTGTGTCTCCTATGTAAAATGATCATCGGAAGACCTGAACTAGTTTTGGATTCAAGCCTCATTTTCTGCAGCTCTTCCCTGATATAATTTTTTAAAACGTGCAATTTGGAACTTTTACAATTTAAAAGTAATACTTACTGAAAGTCAGGTTTTTGCTTTTGCACTGTAGTCCCTGAAAGAACAAAAACATAATGAAAGCTATTTTCTGCACTATTTGAGAATGCAAATGCAAATTTCTATGTGCATAGTGGATAAGTATATGTACACATTTACATGTGTGCCACCCTGTGTTTCCATACATGTGTGTATATAGAACTGTATGTAATTGTGTGCACATGCTAAACCAATCATTAAAAATTGGTAAAGGTTTACGAGTAAATTGTTGACAGACAAGTTGGAAGTGGAGGGTGGCAATGAAGCACAATGATCAACAATCCAAGCTACAAGTTCATCTCAGCAAATGAAGGTGTTGGGAGGGCAATTTTCTTGGATCAACTTTAATTATTTTAACTATTTTGTATTAGTGGGTTATCACATCTCTCAGGAGCTTCTCAGAGCGTATACTCACTGTGAATTATTGTGAGGGTAAAATTAGGATTATAAAGATAAATTCTGGCAAAGGCCCATAAATAAAACTCTTGCTGATCTTCCTCTTTCACATACTAGCAAAACTGCTGCACCTTTTCAGTTAGGCAATTGTTTATGCTTGTACGTTATTAATGAAATTGAACCACAATGTGGAACTACTTATTTTTTAAAAAGGTAAACAATATCAAATATTTCTACTGTATGACTACAAATGAAAATAGTACAATGTTTGAAGAAATAAATACTCAAAATTGTTGAATAGATAAAATCTCTCATCTTTGACAATGTTGATGTTATACCAGATTAATTAGATTATAAAGTAGGTCAGATGACAGCAAATTAAGGGTTTCTGGCTTCATTGTAAGTCATCTTTTGAAAACAGTTGAAAAAAAAGTAATAAAAATCACATCTTAAATCCCTTAGTAAGAACAGTAAGTTTCTCTAGTGTTGCATTCTATTTCTAAAAGAATAAAAGGAAACATATACAAATTTGAACAATTAAGGCTCTATTTACATATAGATTAGGTCAGTTAACTCAGTTGGCTGGACGCTGACTTGTAATGTAGATTGACACTGACAGCGTTGGTTCAATTCCCACCACTGGATGAGGTTTCCATGAAGGACTTTCCTTTTCAACCTATCCCCTCACCTGAGGAGTATTGACCCTCAGGTTAAACCACACAGAGTCATCTCTCTCTCTCTCCTTTGAGAGACCAGCGCTATAGTCCTCTAGGACTGTAATGACTTTACTTTGAGCTGCATTTTTGCTTACAATGGCCTGGTTCTCAAGAGAGAACCTGAGTGTGCTACTTGTCATTATTTCTATCCAAATCATGCAACCTGTATTCATATGAGCTACTTAAACTGAATTCCATACATAGGTTGCTTCTGGCAGTTTAGCCAGTGAGCATATGTGAAATATTGGACATTGGATTGTGATCAGAAAGTCATATTGTGACAACCAAACATCCGATATTTGATCCATGATTTAACTGCAGAGTCACGTGTCATGCAGTAATTGGAGCAACCTGCAGGATGTCCTGGCAATAACTGAAGAATCTGGTTAGAAATTGATTTTCCAGGTCCCTGGTGTTTATTAACACAGAAAGGCCACCATACAGCTACCAAGGAATGTCCACGATCTACACATCAACATCGAGTGCTTCAAATACATCACTTAAAACTATTACAAGCAACCAATCTAGATTGTCCTTCAACTTCAGGATTACCCTGCAATAGAAAAATAATTTGTTTGCAAATATGGAGAGACATTATTGCTTGAAGTAGTCAGGCCAGATCTAGCTAAGTATCTTGTCACATTGTTGTGCAGAAGGTGGGACTTGATCTCATGCCTCCAGGCTCAGAGGTGTGGACATCACTATTATACCACGTGAGCCCCTATCAAACGATACAACACAAATGGGGTAATTTAAACAGGGATGTTTTTATATCTGCTCATTGAACATTAAGTTTAATCTACAGCAAAGTTGGTTTTCTCAATGACACTAATAAAAAGACTTGCAGTAGTATTGAACTTCTTTGATCTCAGGATGTCTCAAAGTACTTTAGAGTAAATGCACTACTTTAAGTATAGTCAGTCACTCTTGAAATGTAGGAAACAGAGTAGAGAGTTTGTGCACAAAACACACAGTTTGCAAAAACAACAATGTGAGTAGACTAAATAATATGTTTTTGTGGTGTTTGTTGAACGATGAACTTTGGCCAGGACACCGAAGGTAACACTCTTACTTCTCCTCAAAATAGTGAAAGGGATTTTAAATGTCCACCGTACATAGCAAATGGTTACATACATTAACAGAAAGATGGCACAATCACATAAACTCACACATCTACCATTCCAAAATATCTTCTGTCTACTCCTACATTATGTAGGAACAATTTAATTTCCTTTTTTGTCGATCTTATTTCCAAATATTAATTCCTATGTCCACACTTATAGTCAGTTTTATCTTTACGCTTGTCACAAAGGTACAAGTCACTCAAAAATATTTCTAGAATGGTTTTTCAGTGTTTTGTGATTAATAAATAGGATTTGTAAAGTCTAAAAAGATTAAGATCACATCTTAAATAAGATTTTAAAAATGACATTTGCAGTAACACATTTATCCAATGAATTATTGTCTGCTGAATCTCTAATACCCTCATTGAGTATCTGTGCTGAAGATTTCAGCCTCCCCCAACAGCCTGACTGTGGCTTTGATATTTTAACTCACAGCTGGTCACTGTGAGATAACCAATTGTGCAGTCTCAGCATTTTTATACCCAATTTCTTTGTACAGTTGAAAATAAATAGTTGTAAAACTCAGCAAAACTAACGCCAAAGCATTAAAAAAAGTGAAAAAGTGAAACTTTAAAGACGAACATTAAGCAAATATGCAAATTTGCAAAATTAACATTTCACATTTCTATCCTGAGATTTTTTTAAAATCTGAACTGTACCTGCGAACACCTGAGTCCACATTTAGTGTTCTCAACAGCTGGACAGCAAGAAATGGACGAACTTAAAATAAATAGCAGGGAACTGAGACAGCCGCTCTTCGTGCGCATTTTGCCTTTTGCTGCTTTACAAATTAAAATACGTATCAAAAAACACAAATTCCTTATTTAAAGGAGTGCACTGGAGCTTGCACTGGATCTCAATATAAGGCAGTTCGCTCTGCGAGTGCTGACCTGCAGTGTTGCCTCTATTCACACTGACTCACCGCCTCTGACTGCTGCTACAAAAACCAAGCAAAATACTCTCAGCCCCGCCTCCAAAAATTCCGAGCTCTCAGCTCCCGACGCTTCTTAAAAACTGCCGCTCCTTCCAATGGAAAGATTTCTTGGAAAATGTAATAACAAGTGTGTCATTCAATTCGAGAATCTCTGTCATTAAAGCACTGCTCTAACGTACAGCCTATCGCTTGCATTACTCACTGGCATTGATTAGACCAATTTATTTAGAATTCCCAGCAGTTTCCCCTTGCTCAATTCAGCTCTTCATTACAATGGAACACATCCAAATGCCTATAGCTTTATTACTTTTCAATTATCATGATGCAACAGATTAGTTAAAGATAAAGTCTTGCAATAGTTAACTTCATGGAGTGGATATGGGAACAATTGTCAAGTAAGATGTTGACCTCTGGTGAAGTTATAACTGAAGTGTATTCCATAAACTCGAATTGAAATGTTAAGTGGAACTGGATTCTCAAGGGGCTTGGCTTCTGGCCAGAAATATGCTCTCAGCCAGATAGTGAACTTGGGAAATCATTAAGTAATAGCTTTTCAACATACAAATGTGAATGTCCTCAAATTTTAGGAATCTTTGATTCCTTGTTTGTCTTCCATGGCTTCTCTAGAAATCAGTCACTTTGCTTCAATCACAATCATGAAGAGGAATCTAAAGAACATTCCAATCCCTCACCAGGCACCCACTGGCAAGTTTTTTAAAAATTATTCAGGGGGCATGGGCATCATTGGTTAGGTCAACAATTATTGCCCATCCTTAACTGACCAGAGGACAGTTAAGAATCAACAACATTGCTGTGAGTATGAAGTTACATGTAGGCCAGACCAGGTAAGTTTGACAGATTTCCTTCCCAACTGACAGTGGGCACGTGGTCACCATGAGACTAGTTTTTTTTATTCCAGATTTTACTGAAGTCAAATTTCACCATCTACCCTGATGGGAATTCAAACCTGTATCTTTGGGACATTAGCTTGGCTTTTCGATTGTTAGTGCAATACCATTACACCACTGCATTTTCCACTTCTCTTGTGCAGATACATTATAAATCAATATTATATTACATTGGTAAGTCTCAAATTTAAGGCACAGGGTTCAATGATTGGAGAAAACCTTGTGTACTACACAACACTATCGATCATCAACTACTTACCCATGTTACTGCTTATCTTTGGACACTAGGTGAAGAAAGTTTAGATCAGGCTGAGATGGCTCTCACGATTAGTTGATATGCCCTACTCAGACTGACACATTTAAGAACGGTCACTTGGGATCTCTGTCTAGCAACATAGCTGCAACTCAGCATGAAAATGCCATCTCCAGGAAAGGCAGCAAATCAGTTGGGAGTAGAATAGGATTCCATCATTTATGTAATGTTCAAATGTTCAAAATCAACCCTAAGATTTCCATTGTCCTCACACTATCTGTCACCTAAAAAGTAACAATTCAATCATGTGAAGTGATCTACAGATCAAGTGTGCTTCCTTAATGCGTCAGTAGGTATGACCAGTATTGTAGAAAAATCTTTGAAACATAAATCAAAAAACTGTTAACTGTAAAGCAGAATACTATGGATGTTGTTAACTCAGTAGCATGTGTGTTGACAGAGAAGCAGAATTAACATTTAAGGTACGTGAACAGGAGTTCCAAAGAACAGTCATATTTGATTCAAAACATTCACTTTGTTTCCCTGTACACAGATGCTGTCAGACCAATTGAGTCTCAAGCACGTTGTTTTTATTTCAGTGTTCCAGCATCCTGAACATCTTTCTTTTCATTCCATCGGATATAATGGTTTTTGAGCTGTGGAGTAATGGAGGTTGCCTTATAAACATTAGACAGTTAGACTGAATGAATATTCTGTAGTTTTTCTCAATTCCGCTTGGGAAAGGTGCATCTTTCATGCATTGTTTCTCTTCACCCATGGAAATTGGGAGGGTTGAGTGAATGAAATATGCTTTATGAAAGACTAGAATAGATTAGAAGTTATCCCTTGCTTTCTTATATTCAATCATTTTATCATAACCCCATAAAGATTCCCAGAATGCATCACTAACCACTGTCAATATTGATGTCACAATCAAAATAGATGGTAGACTTTAGCCCATGAAAATGTGTATTATTTTCAATCATTTTATCACTTCATCTCAGCTGTTAAATTTATTAATCAATTGTGTAATAGATTAGTAAATGTGTTGTTTGTTGACATCAGTAGGTTCATTCTTTTATTGTAATACAATTAAATCCAATAACCTTACTTTTTAGGTTTGTAAAGTATTCCTAAGCAATAGCATGTTACGTCCTTATCCAATGCTAATCTGATAAACACTATCAATTCCAACCTTCTGTCAGTTTTTCAGAATAAAGACATTTCATATGCATTATCTTTATAACATTTATTGGAAATCAGTCAGATGGAAATCTCACTACCCCATTGCAAAGGGTCACATGCTATAAATGGCACAATGGTTTTCAGTGCTGTGTGGCTGGGAAGATTAAAATCATATCAGGTTTCCATATCTAATCACAATTCAATGGTTCATGATGAAATTGTAGTTGCTGGCTAACTTGCTGGTGTCAAATTGCTAGTCAACACTATCAAAGTATGTAAGGTGGTGCCTTGAACTAAGATATATCTCAGGGTGGTTTGTGCTCTGAAAACTGTACCCTTTCAATGAACCAAAGCTTTCAAATGACATAGAGTACTTATTGTGTGTTAACAAATTGTACATCCTGCTAAAGGAACATGTCTTAGTATGTTTCGAATCTCAAAATCATTTTATATTTTAAAACTGAAAGCAAAAGACTGCAAAGATAGCTGAGCAAGGGTCACCTGACTTCTTTTGTGGATGAAGAAAGGGAAAAATAACATTCTAGACTGATGTTACATCAATGCCCTTTCCTGAAATTGATCCATCCATTTGAATGGGTAATTCAAACACAAAGACACTGGATGTCTCAAACTCTGTGTGTGAAATTCACAACACGGAATTAACCTAATCATCCAGCTTATTTGGAAAAGGATTTGAAACTTGTAAAAGGTCACATGATAAGACAGCCATGTTAAAAATCAGCTGAAGTGTCCTGCAGACAGCATTCCAACAGAAAGACATCTAACTAGCTGCATATCACCCAATCAGCCAAGGAAATGAACAATAATAATTTGAAAATGAGAGATCCTAACAGGGAAGACTTTACTCACCATTTCCAACTTCAAGTTGACCTGAAAACCAATCTTGTAGAAATGTGACTACAAGAAACTTCAGAGCCTGCTGAGAAGCTTTATCTTTACAAGACATTCACTTCAACTGTAATGGATCCACTTTATCTAAGAAACCACAGGATTACCACAAAACAAACTGAGATAATTATAAGCTATACAGTATAGTATTTTCATCTCTAACCTTTGTGTGTGTGTGTTTGTGTGTGTGAGAGAGAAAGTGAGAGAGAAAGACAGATAAAGATATGGGCATATGACTGTAAGGTACAAATCCTGTATTCGTAGATGGTTGGGAGCGAAATGATGGTGGTTTGATGATTTGTGCAATGTCTGAGGCTAATGGTACAACTGATAGTTTATGGCATTTGAAGATGCATTTACCAACCTGAGCAATCATTTAACGTCACTGAACCTCTTGTGCCAATACACTCAGTATTTGGGTCTTGATTCCTGGCATCAACCTCTACAGTCATCTGCTTCCACTGCCTACAGAGACAGTATTTTGAAAGCATTCCCCTGGTTTCCATGTCCTCCACTAAGGTTTCCAAGGATGTGTTTGAAAATGTAGAAGTCTACTTTCTTCTCTGACGTGCCATTATTTCAATGTTTCATATTTTAGTTTCTGTTCACAAATGACTCCAGGCATTTACTCTAGCCACAATGCACTAATGCTTTAAGAGGTGCAGGCTAGCATTAAGCAGTACAAGGTGGCTTTAAATGGGGATAGCCATCATGAAGTTGGCTTCTGCTCAGTAATTTGGTCATTCAAAAGCATGGTGAGTGCTGGATGGATACTGAAATCATTTACGAAGGAAGGCAACAAGTTGGCAGCTAACTGATATAGAACTGTGGATGTTGGAGATCTCAAACAAAAATAGAAATTGCTGGTGAAACTCAGCACGTCTGACAGCATCTGTGGGAAGAAAGCAGAGCTTACATTTCGAGCCTGGTGACTCTACATCAGAGCTCATCGAACGGGTATAAGTTAAAAATGCCATACTAGTTCCCATTCCTGGGACAGTATTTAGTTGAAGCGATTGGGTCTTGTGAACCAGATGGAGATCTGCAATAACCCCATGTCGGTGGGCTGTCCCTGGGATAAAAGGACCCCAGGAAGGGGTACAAGTGCTGTTCACCAAATGCCGCTAGACAAACAGAGGCTGGCAGATCTAGTCAACAGCAGCACCATTCAGGAGGTGGCAGATGCTGCAAGTAGGTCACCCACTCAAGAGTCCAGTATTGTGGATGGACACAGGCTACAGGCAACCGATGGCTGAAGTGGAGTCATGGGCTGGAGATCACAAGGTAAGAGGATAGACAACAAAGACAGGGGTGGATGTCGTTGCTCCAGCAACTCCCCCCAGCATCTTCATGATAATGAGGCAGGAGTACTCCCCACCCCAGAGAGCTGGCAAGCAACTTGTACAGGTTTGCTTGTCACGCTCCCACATGGTAAGTAGCCCACCTGTCCCTTGGTTAATCGCAGTAAGATAGGGCTCTGAAGTGGACATTAATTGTCCCAGAGGACTCCAGCTACTAGTCTCCTGCTCAATTAAATGTCTTTCCTGCCACTAAACTCATCATGGAGGAGGGACAAGTATTCTGCCCCCGATTTCAGGGGCTTTCTTTGTCTCCAGTAATAACGTTTGCAATTTCCTCCCATGCTTTCCGTAATCTTGCAAGTTATTCACAAACTAATGTTCTTGACATTAGTCAAAAGACTCTTCTCTATTTTCATTTTTAA